TACACCACAAAAACCTACTGAACCTCTCTCTAACTTTCTAATTTTCCAATTTAAATGAGAAGTTCTAGTTTATTTACTAAGCAGTATCACAGTTTCACGTCATGGCTTCAAAACCCAATCCTCTAGTCTTGGTTTGTATTCTACTATCCACTCTTTGTTGCCTATTTCTTCTAGTAAGACACTTTTTTTTTTCCTACAGATACTTTAATAAGAAGAAAAGAGCATAGATAAGGTGATGTTGTCACGCTGAGCAGTTTTGCTTCACACTTAAGTATTGCTCCTAAATCTAGGTTTCTGTAAGGGATTAAAGGGTATTTAGTTTAAAAAAAATTAAAAAAACCCCCCACAATTATATTAATTGTGTATATGTTATTATACAGGTTTGACACTGCAGAACAATCACTCAGCAAGCCAATAATCCTCTGATTTATATAGCATGCTGCAACATGCACAAAGAAAGGCTGTCCACATACTATAATCTTACTAAAAAAAATAACACCTACATTCTTGTGAGCTTGTCTACTGGGATGCTTACACATTTTTTAAACTAATATATGATGTCATAATTCATATAATGATCTTTTTTGTCCTATGACAAAAATCCCCATAAAATGGCGATTTAGCCAGCCATGATGGCTGTGCTTAATTTTCTTGAATGAAGGTAAATGCCGAGTTTCCTCTATGCTGAGAAAATATATGATTGTTTTATATTAATGCAATTTTTCTGAAGTTACATCCTGAATTGGCTGAATCTAGATGACTGCAGTTCATAGAAAGAAATAAGCTCTTCATAAAGGGTGGACATAGCTCTCCCCCTTGGTATTGTGTTCAGAGGGGAGAAATAGTTTTTGCATCTTGACCACGTTAACAATTCAGTTTTGCCAGCATGAGCACAAGCGCAGCGAGCCCAGGGGAGATCACTGCATAGGCTGAACTGGAGGTTCAGACTTGGTCTTGGTGCCCCAACTTCCCTGGGCTTCAGTTGCTTTAAGTTACAAGCACAAAATTACAAAGACTTCCTTATAGAAAGCAGCTTATAAGGTGGACTAAGCAGAACTGATGAACACCTTCCACATCTAATTGTGGATCTGTAACACTAAAAAAAAACCCATAAAAATATAAAACTATACTTTGATATATTTTTAGGCCCCCTAAACTAAGCAAGAATATACAGAGAAGAGTGAAAACTATTCCTGTGGAAAACAAGTATTTTAGATAACTATGGCCATCAGGATGAAGAATGTATGTCAAGGAAAGTCCTGCTCTCACTGAAGAAAATGGCTTTATAAAGACAGTTTATCACAATTTATTTTTATATTTAGAAGCTGTAGATTTAAAGAACATAATAATGACACAGATACAACCAATCAATAGAAACTGCTTGAAAATTGTCTGCCAACATTACACTGAAAATTGTCTGCCAACTCTACACCGTGAGAGTGATTTCCTATAGCTTATATTTATCTATACCGGTAAAAAAATAATACAAAATGTGGACAGAACTCTGCCACAGCACCATAGGAGTATATATTATTGCACAACATTCCAAGTAGGTAGTGTAGTATCCAGCCCTGACAATGTCCAGTACTTAGTTCTGGAGGCATTAATTTTTTGTAGAGGTTTTTGTTCAGAAAATCAAGTAGTAACTTACAAAGAATAATGTTTTGTTCATCCTTGTTTATGTGAAGCTAGATTTCACTAAACCCTAGCCTCTCAGATCAATTTTTTAAATTAAAAAAGATTTTTAAATAGGTAAGACTGCAGTTTGACAAATTAGGAATATGCATGCGTATAAATAAATCCCTCAACCCTGCTGCTGAAGTGAGAGGCAGTGGCACATGCAATAGCTTTCATTGACCTTTTTGGATAGGCCAAAGGTGGTGTGGAAGACCCCCTTTTTCTCACACAAGTTCTGTAGAACTTAATTCGGTCAGTGAGAAAAAAAAGGTGATCACAGGAGTTACACCACATTTATGGTATTTGCTGTAGATCGAGTCCCACAGGGACTCACACTGTGTCCTATGGAAATGTAGATTCCATATTTATTCAGACTAAAGGTGGCAAGGCACTTGCTTATGAACATTCCGCTCACTACTTGCCCTGCTAGGCATTATTATTGTGGTTATCATCAGGTTTGAGTACAGTCTTACCAAATTCAGCACTGTTTTTACTATTACATTTCTATATTTGTGTATGGCTATGTATACGTACATATATATTGGAACATCCATAATCTTCACTTTCGTATACCAGCAACCCTGCTTATTTATTAACACAGACTAGCTAAAAAATTGAACTATGAATTCCAGCTACAGGTAACTTGTATCAGCTTCTAAGCCACTTAGTTCCAAATTTATGTAAATATTCTTCCAACAGTTTTGTGAAATTACTAAAAAGAACAGTAAGAAATATAAAAGCAAGCACCCGAGTAAATATAATGAAGTTTGTATTTCTGTATCTTTAGTCATTGTGACAGTATAAAAATACCTACTTGTTCAAAACCATAAGTATTTCTGTGAATATTCCACCATTTATATGAGAGAACCAAAAATGTGTTTGCTGTTTATAATGAAGCTCATAAGGAAACAAACTACTGAAAAATATTTGCAAAGCATACTATTAAGTGAAAGAGCTATAGCTTGACATCTTTAATTACATTTTTCTCTTAAATGAAAGAACATGGTGCTGAAGGGAAGGAATTAAGAATGCAAATTAAACATTATTTAAAAAGTTGTCATATAGAAGCCTCCAAGTATATTTTTAACAAGATGCTCTTGATGCTTCAGTAAAGCACACACCAGAAGGACTCTGGGCTGTTCCCTTCTAGGAAGCTTGTACACTGCTAGCAGTAAATGATTCTGGAAACAGTTTTTTTTTTTTCCAGTTTTAAGAAGAGTTTATCATAAACCAAGACATGGAATTATTGTTTCAAAACTTCACTAAAAGTAGTTTTTTTAAAATAGAAAACCTAACCAATTCTGAACATATTTTCTGTCCTTGGAAAACAGGGACAAATCTTCTTTTGTCCCAACACTGCAGTGGATAACTATGCCACGTGAATTAAGGTTTTACCTGAAATATCTTTCCTACCTTTATCATCACTGCTTCTTTAATACAGAGACATATGCAATGATCTATAATAAAGATTCTTAATGACTGCCAAATAATTAAAAAAAGCATTGTATAGAGCAATTATATTTCCTACCTGCCTACCAAGCTAAAAACTATGTACTAGGTGTACATTGTACACCTTCTGTACATTGTACAAAAGGTACATTTAATTGCAGGTGGTGGGGCAAGAAGAAAAGAAAGTGCATCAGGCATTATGCCCTAATGATAACATTACGGACTGGAGGAAGGCCTCATGGCTCATAAAAGCTGCAGGTGATTTAGACCTGTAAATCTCAGAATTTTTGTATTGTATCTTACTGTTTGGTTTGGTGTTTCTTTTGCCACTTGTTTGTAAAAATAATACATTAAAGATTTTTCTTTCCAAAGAATACCAGCTCAAGAAATTTTATGTTAATGCCCCAAATGACTCTAAGCGAAGCTGTGATCATCAAAGCAATATTCACTACTTCAAGGAAATCTCTCAGAAAAGATGCATAATGAATATTACAGTTACTTCAGGATACAAGGAGTTGACACCTATGAAATGCAAGTAGGAATTAAAAATGAGACACTTTGTTATGAAGTTGTTTCCACTTCCATGTTCCCATAGGTCCCCAGATATTAGATGCAGACATGCTTATCAAATTTCTTCTTTGTCGAGAGAGGAAAGATAGAATTAAAGACAGAAAAAAAGAAATATTTTAGGGCAATTTTACCCCTTATCTACTTGAAGCAGCCCCAAAGTTTAGAGTATTAGGAGTAGTATGAGCAGGAATTTCAGGACAACCAATAATAGGCACAGATGGAATGAGACTTGTCACATAGGTGTCATTACTGTACATAATTCCCTAATGCTATTTGTGTCACACAGCTGTATAGTATTCTTTACTATTTACAAAACTGATGCTAGCCAAAATGGTCAAAGCTAAGGATGCAGTGAATTCTTTTGCTAAACTTTAAGTGCTTGATAATGAGTTTCTAATATAACATGGACCTGACAGCTACTAAAAGATCTACATAGCTTATATGTAAATAGATTTTGATAGCTGAAATTAAAAGATTTCATAAACAATAAACTTTGGCACCATTTAACAGGTCTCAGTAGCCTCTAGAGGTATCATGCAGAAGAGCTGCTGCTGATTCTCTTTTGCTGGTGACCACTGTGTTTGTGTAACTGTTACCAACTGATAGCTGAAATAAAACTACCATATACAAATAACTGTATTTGTATTTAAAATACAATTATTTGTGCATGGTACTTCATGTAAAGCTATTCTCTACTGCACCCAAAGAGAAGACCGATACCCTGGAAACGTACTCTGTTAAAATACGCACTAGATTTAAATAAAACACACTGAACCACTCACATTGCAAAACTCTGCAGCCTCAATTTGTTCACTGTTACAGCGGACTCTGTTGTACTGGTTCTCTACTAGCAACACTACTAATATATACCTAAAATACTTGCTATTTCTCAAGTTCTTTCTCTGCTTTGGACACACACAGAGTCTATTGAAGTTAAAAAAAGAAAACTATCCAAGCTGACATTTTTAAACTAGAGTTACTCAATACATACTTAACCTACTAGCATTGTAATCCTATCATACTGCCATTATAACTACGATCAAGAAGGTTACATTCCAGAAATACAATTATACTGTTGGCAATTAACTCGTATTACTACATTTAGTGATAACATATACTACAGTAAATCTACACTTGAGTGACAAGATGATCTGGGGGAAGAACTGATATTCTCCTTGCGAAACTCTTCAAGGAAATTTCATGTCTGTGGGGACAAACAGGTTTACTCTATGCAAAATCTTCAGAAAATACATTTATAATAAATAAGAAACCAAATTTCAATAATACTAAACAGACGTTAAAGCTCTTTTGCCTTTTTTAAGAAGATTTTTTTTATGTATGATTGAAGTTTATACAACACTCCAGAAAAGCCATCATGTGTTAGATTGAAAAATAAAATCAGAAGCATTTTCTGCCATATAGGTATACATGAAAAAACGGGAACGTTAATGTCTTAGAAAGTGTATGTCCACCTTTGTATAGTTACTCGTTTAACAAAGCAGAAAATAAGATACCGTACTGTAAACAAAAAGCTACAGTAAAAGGACATTTTGAAATTTACACAAGTTTGAGTTCATAAACATTTTGGTTGCTCCATAACAGTTTTCATATAAAATGAATAAAAAACCCTTGGACAGCTTTCATCACTCTTGACTACTTTTCACTTAAATGCACACAGACATACTTTATATAGCAATATACTGATGTACTGTAACATGGATATTAAACGATGGTTACTGCTTTTTAACTGAGATGAGTATTATCCAATCAATATTATCTGTAATTGAAATACTCATACATCATGTGTTCCCATCATGTTGTTAAGTATAAAAACATGAAAATATAACTTTACATTATTTCAGTTATATACATCAGTTCAGGCTTGACAAAGATTTTTTTTTTTTACACTATGAGTTTTAGAGGAGTAAGCCCAGAGGTACAATAAATAGCTTTCCACTGTATACAGTAATGCAATTCTACTTTTTCAAAAAGTTTAGATTACCATATGAATCCTATTTTAGTTTGGTCATTCTAGCATTGAACATTAAAAATCAGAATGCATTCCCCAACATTCCTGATGAGGAGTAATGCACAGAACAACTATGGATTACAGACATGTCAAGAAATGGTTTATTTCAATTAGGGGGAAGTTACTAGTAAGTTTGCTATTAAAAACACTGTATATACCTCTCTCGCTGACTGCACTGAGAGTATACACTGTGTTCACATGCTTGCAGAAACAGGGTCAGAGCTTGAGCCACAAGAAGGGGTTTCAAGTTTCTGGTAAACGCTCTGTATTCTCCAATGTTCAGTAAACATTTTGCTTAAGCCTAAGAAATGGATTCCAACTAAAACTGCAAGTCACATTTCAAATTTTATTTAAGTCCAAAATAAGAGAGATTTACTGATACTGCATGAGGCAATGTATCCACAATGCAGAAAAATGTACACTTTTCAACCAAAGGTACAGAATTTTATCTACAGGGAAAGCTAGAGAAACATGATGTTGCTTTGATTTGCATCAGCATTTAAATTAATGTTATTGCACCCCTCCTAGGATTCCTTTTTGCTTTCTAAGTAGAGTTATAATTTTTAAATACAAATAATTAAAACATATGGTAACTTCAAATAGCTAAGAATATTCATAGTGATTAAGATTCAGGAAAGTTCTTCTATTTTCATCAGTACAGACTTGCATCTAACTTGAGTTATTATCAATCTTAATTCAAAAAGACATTGCCAAGGTTTTGGTTGCTTTTTTTTTTTTTTTCATAACAAAGAACTTTACTAGCTACTGCTTAGAATTACCTTTTAACAATTTGAAAACGGCTTCCTTAAAGGAACAATTTGAGAACTGCATATGTTTCACACTTTAAAAGAAATATTTAACACTGTTTTACTGTTTGCCATTTATCAATTCTTACTGATGATCTTCTCTCTCTATACATGTATTTATGAACGCAATTGTATAAAAGTAGAGATAGCTATGAACCAAATCTTTGGATCATAAGTCCCTGTACGTCAGAGTTAAGAGGAGCTCTAAATCAGCACCTATCTGACTCCTCTTGTGCTGGTATCAAGTACCACTCCAATCCAGAACAATCTTGACCTTCAGAGTTCAAAATGTGTATCTGAACATCACAGCTTGGGCTCATCTGTAGAAAAAAACGTTGAACAGATTCAAGTGAGCTGGAGGTGGCGACACTGACAAACCTAAAACATTGACCCAACCTTGACAGTGTCCTTTTAGATTTCAAACTCTTTATAACCCAACTGTAGCTAGTAAAATTAATGGAACACTTGCAAATAAAACCATAGAAAAAAGTTTATTTCAAATGTCAAGCATTGCCAAGTAATTTTATATTAACACCAAATGTTAAAGTATAGGATATACAGCAAAGTTTTAATAACAATATTAAATTACAAGATTTGAACCTTTTAATAATTATTTCTTCTCAACATTACATATTTGGCTTGAAAAAAATATGGAGCTGACGCCTTAAGCCTTATTTTCATATTCCACTTCCACGCAGTCTAGATTTCTTTTTTCTTATTTTTGTTCTTGTTTTCTTTTGTCATATTCAACCATTATGGAAGCAAATTTATTTAAAAGCCAGTTTTTGTTTGTGAAAATACCTAAAAATATTTTTTTTTCATTTTAAATGTGTTGTTTTTTTTTTTTTTTTTCTTATAAAACATGTCACATCTTGATGCAGTTGATGTCAAGTGTGCTTAAGTCAATATGAACCAAGGGACTAACAACGGTGGCTGCAGAAACTGGTGTGTTGCCTGTACAACGACTTC